TAACATTGTGAGATTTACCCTGTTTCCTGTCAGTTTATAGAAATTTTTAATAGGTTTGTTTAAATTGTGAACTCATGTTTTTTTCATTTACAACTCTCAAAGCCATAATGCCCTTTTCTCTTCTGAATCAGAAATAGAAAATAAATGTTTTAGAGGTTAAGCAATAGTCACATTTTGATTTGTGTGAAATAGACAAGGCAAAGTTATCGCTATGTTGGTTATCATTTGTTCTTTCAGCTGTGATGGTGGGATAAAAATGGCCTAAACTGATCAATGTCAGCAAAAAGGTCTCTTAAAAAATTTCTTCCTGTGTAACTGGCAGTAGCCAAGTTGGGTATCATCACTACTTTGGTACATCTACAAGTATATACTAGATACCCAGTCTTTGCATTTTGGCAGTCAGAAGCATAAAAATGTATTCCTTTGATCTGTATGAAACTTTGACAGTATTTATTGGTATAGTTTAGAAGAATAAGCCAGGAGATGTGAGAGCTGCTTTATAAATTGCATGGTGTTAAAAAATGAAGCTTATTTGTGTTAAAGAGGAAGAGCAGGTACAGTAGTAAGAGCCATGCAGAAAGTATTATGAATGAAACGTTTGTTATTGTTTCATTGTTAAACCTAATATGTTTCTTGAGGATAGGGATCATGTGTTACTCATTTTCATGTTTCCAATAATCCTTGTGTTGCTCCAATGAATGTTAGATGAACAGGGAATTGGAAGAGGCTTTTTCAGTCCAGGTGACTTAAATTTAAGAGTATCTTTACTGAGCATTTTTTTTTTAGCAAGTAAAAGTTGATTTGCCAAGCTTTTTTCTTGAATGAAGTTAAAGGCTAGAACTAATTTTTAAAATTTAGATAAATAGCTTGTTTTAGAACTTGTGACATAAATTCTGTAGTGAAAATGAATGTTTAGATAGCTTGAGATGATCTATTCAATATAAAGAGAAAAAGAGCAAAGATGACATTAGGGATTGACATTAATCAATAATGAACATATTGGCCTAATTCATATTTGATACTTTTTTTTTTTTTTTTGCGGTATGCGGGCCTCTTGCTGTCGTGGCCTCTCCCGTTGCGGAGCACAGGCTTCTGACGCGCAGGCTCAGCGGCCATGGCTCACGGGCCCAGCCGCTCTACGGCATGTGGGATCTTCCCGGACCAGGGCATGAACCCATGTCCCCTGCATTGGCAGGTGGACTCTCAACCACTGCACCACCAGGGAAGCCCCATATTTGAGACTTTTTTAAGAAACAGTGAATATGACACAAATCTAAATTGAAGTTTCTAATTTAGGAAAAATTACTAAGTACAGTAACAAATACTGTATGAAAACACTATTTTAACTTGATGCTTTAGAATCTCTCTTCCTACATTACTTTATCCTCAGCAACATCATCTTCATTTGTGCTTTTATGCTAATGTATGTTGTGATTGTACTTTAGTGTCCCGTGATTCCTGTTTTTGTGTATTAAGCCTTACAGGCGTGATAGTCTACTGATTTTTTTTAATAGTCCATGGATTCTTTTGTTTATTGGTTGTGTAACTTGTTGATAATGTAGAATGGGTATTTACCTGTTTTTTCTCATTACTTGCCATTTTTATACCATCAGGTGTCACAGTTTTTAGTGAGTACTTATGTTACCAAACCAGGCTTGAGTCCACTTGCCTGAGCGCAATAAAGCCAGTCTACTGACACCGGGTTGTGGTGAAGGAAACTGCAGCGCTTATTGCAGGGCACTAAGCAAGGAGTCTAGGTAGCTAGTGCTTAAAAGACCCAAACTCCCCAAAGGCTTTCAGGGAAAGGTTTTAAAGATAGGGAGAGGGAGGGGGATTGTGGGGTGTGTGATCATCTCATGGACACTCTTCTGACTGGTTGGTGGTGAGATAGTCGGGAGTCAACGTCATCAACCTTTTGGTTCCAGTGGTTCTGGGGTCTACATGCTTGTGGGCAGCATATGGTTAACTTCTTCCACCTGGTGGGGGTTTCAGTATCTGCAAAATAACTCAAAGGACATGGCTCAGAATATTATCTATAGCCCTTTAGGAGGAACTAAAGGTCCTTGACTTTGTTTAATGGCTAAACTATTATTATTTTGTCTTGTTTGTTTTATTTCTGCACTTTCTCACTTCTCTTATTAAATTTATTCTTTGGAACTTGGGGAAGCCCTAGGAGGCTAAAGTTTTTCTACAGACAAGAGGCAGACAGAGGACATGGGAGAGGAGTCTGTTCTGGGAAGGGCCCATCGGGCCCTGCTTTGTTACACTTATGTGTTGTCCAAGGCCTAAGGAGGTCTGCGCCTTGTAGAATAACTCACTTGATAGTACCAGTAGGAAACCATTTTTGTAGAAAATCATTGAGCCATGGGGAAGAAGAAAATCAGTGGCGGGCCCTAAATGACTTTACAGGTCAAAAAAATGTTTGAGGAATTGTGCCAGGCTGCTGGTAGAAAATCCCACCTTTTGGGCAGCTCCCAGTAGTGGAGATAACGTGGAAATATCATATTTGTCATGAGTAAATATAAGTTCCAAGCGTTATAAAAACACAGACAAGGTAGTATTAAAACTTTGTAGGAGATTAAGAAAGGCTTCCAAGTTGGGGCTTGAATACTGAATAGAAATTTGCCAGGTGTGTGGCTTTGGGAATTTGAGGACTGCTTTCAGACAGTGGCACCATTACATGCAAAGGTGTTGGAGCGCAGTGTTTTAGAGGAATTTTGGCTAGAGCTCCTGGAATAGAGTAGGGAGTAGGAGAGTACAAGGCTGTGAAAGTAGTTAGGGACAGAATTTGTTGTATTAAGAACCTTTACAGGTTTTTAAGTAGGGAATTGACAAGATGAGGTTGTTTACTTGAAAGGTATGTGTCAAGAATGGATTCAAGAAGTGTTTCCCACTTAAGTGATCTGAGTACTACTTTTTTAAGACTGACAACTGAATTACCTGCGCTATTAATTACTTAATATTTTTCCTTAAATTCACATTTTTATGTAAATAATTTCATCATAAGCAACATTAAAAGATCACAGATTTTGTTGGCTATTGTTTCTAACATTTGTTCAGTTTTTTGTTTGTTTGTTTTTTTTTACTTATGACGCAAAATAATCATGGGCAATCACTTCAAGAAACACAGTGCTGAAATAAGTTTAAAAAATTTTTGGTCTATAGGAACCCTTCACACTCTTAAAAATGAGTCAGAATGAACAGTTTTGTTTGTATGGGTTGTAATTGATATTCAAATACCAGAAATGAAAACAAATCTTTAAAATGTTTTAATAATTCATTAAAAATAATAAAGCATTAAATATTAATGTAATTAATATACTTTTATGAAAAATATATTTTCAAAAACATGGTTTTGTTTGAAGAGTGTTTTATATTGCTTTACAATTTTGCAAGTCTTTTTAATGCCTGGCTTAACAGAAAACAGTTTACATCTGCTTCTGTATTTATTATGTTACTGTATATATATTTGTAAAATGTTTGGTTGAAGTGTCTGAAGAAAATCTAGCAGCATACATATATGTGGTTGGGAAAAGGAGGAGTATTTTAATAGTCTTTTCAGAAAATTGTGGACCGTCTTAGATGTTATACCAGGTTTTGACAAGTGATGGTTTCTTAAAGGTTAGTTGCAATGTGGGATCAAACCATATTAGTGAGCTTTTTGTATTCTGTTATGGTAGAATCCATTGTTCTGTTTTAAAATGGATCTAACATGCATGATTTTGCAAACATTCTGAACTTTGGCATTGGAAATGAAGAAGGGGGAATAGATTCAAGATATATTTAGGAAATAAAAGGACTTGGTGACTTCCTAAATAAGGATAGTGAATGTTTCTGTCTTAAGATACAGAAAGGCGCAGATTTAGGAGGAAGAATAATAAGTTTTGACATGCCTTCTTACATAACATGGTGCACAGTGGTTTAACCTTTTCTGTTTACTTGTTGCCCACCCCCCTCAGTCTCATATACTTCCATGCATTTCTCATAGCTTTGAGAGTGTACTTGATGCATCGTGAATATTTAGTAAACGTTTTTAAACTAAAGATGCTTAGTTTCCATGATCATAGAAGAAGAGGATTTACTTCTGTATATTTTTTACATGGTAGAAATACATATTTATGGTAAATCAATATACAAATATGGTAAATCAATATATTAGGAAAATCAATATACAAATAAACCAAGAACTTATACTATCAGTGAGAAATTACCAAGTTAACATGTAGATGCTTACCTTTCTATACTTAATTCTGTTTTTTATTTTTACATAAAAGTGCTTTTTGGTTGGTATGATATATTTTTGTAATTTCAGTATATCTTTTTCTACAGTATCTTCATATCTTTTTTTTTTTTAAGATTTTTTTTGATGTGGACTTTTTTGGGGGGTGGGCACGCGGGCCTCTCACTGTTGTGGCCTTTCCCATTGCGGAGCACAGGCTCAGCAGCCATAGCTCACTGGCCTAGCCGCTCCGCGGCATGTGGGATCTTCCCAGACCAGGGCACGAACCCGTGTCCCCTGCATCGGCAGGTGGACTCTCAACCACCGCACCACCAGGGAAGCCCTGATGTGGACCATTTTTAAAGTCTTTATTGAATTTGTTAAGATGTTGCTTCTGTTTTATGTTTTGGTTTTTTGGCCTCGATGCATGTGGGATCTTAGCTCCCCAACCAGGGATTGAACCTGCACCCCCTGCATTGGAAGGCGAAGTCTTAACCACTGGACCGCCAGGGAGGTCCCTCTCCATATCTTTCTTGAAGAGTTAAAGGCTGTTGAAAAAATAAGGGACCATATTCTCATGTTTAGTTTGAGCTTTCATTTTCTGAATTACACATTTTCTTTTTGATAACTACAAATATTATTCCTACTTTTTAAAAGTAATACATTTTTACCTAATATATTACATTTGCCTTACTTACATATGTCTTACATGTAATACATAAATTTAGTTTTGTAATTTTGTATATTTCTTTTTCAGAGAATAACAGCTTAGAGGTCCAAGATGTCCAATCTGAGGATATTTGCAGTGAATCATAAGAAAATATCCAGCTTGCACATTAACGTAAGTTTTTCTTGTAAAATTAAACATACTTCAGCAGCTTCAGTTACTTGACTTCCCCAAAGGTCTAGTGTATCTCATATACTAGTATATCAACAGTTTCTTAACAGGGGGTATGGGGGAACCTGTAATCAACAAGAAGTATGCCTTATCATTAGTCTATAAATTCATTTTGCTACTTTAAAATCACCTGTGCAGCATTTTGAGACTATCTGTATTCCATTTTTGAGGTCGTTAGCAGCCCAAGGAGTTGCGCAGTTTTTCTTCAGTGTTTTCATTTCTGATGCTTTCAGACTTTACACCCTGTGATAGGTGATGCTGTCTTACCCTGGCCATTATGAAGTAGAAATTTAAATAGTTTGAGTCTCTTCTCTACTCTTAATATACTTGCTTAGAATAATAGTGTTTTATTGCCAGAAACTTGGTAACTAATGTAGAAATAATACAGAAGGCACAGGTATGCATTCTGTGACATCATGAAAGGCAGATTGTGGCAGCCCAAAATCACTGCATACACTAACTACAATTCCAAATACATTGACAGCCATTAAATGTGTATTTAGTGGTCCAGGGATAAATCGATAGAGAACATTCAACCTCTATGTGGGAATATTAGGAGAAGATACCCGGGGAGCTTTTAAAAATGCTATAGTTCCTTCAACTTCCCTTCCCTTTTAAAAGCTCTCCAGGTGATTCTAATATGTAGCCGCTGTTATAAATCTAGGTGAAAACACCTAATGGTTTCAGAGTTCATGACTCCCACCAGCTCTTAATAGGCTTAAAGGAGAACCAGGGGGTATCCAGGGTTAGCAACCTTATTTAACCTTTCTGGCTCTTTGGAAACTTTAGGGTCGTTATCAAACTGCAGCTATCAGAATCACCTGGAGGGCTTGTTAAAACACATAGTTGTACGCTATCCCTAGAGTTTCTGATTCTCTTCTCTGGAGTGGGTCCTGAGAATTTGCCTTTCAAATAAGATCCCTGTGATGCTAATGCTGCATGTCTAGGAGAGCCATCATCTAAGGTCAGCTCAAAAGAGCAAGCAGTATTAATTTTATCCTTATTTTTTATTGTAGTATAATTTTGTGTTGTCACTTTTTAAAAGAATTGGAGTTAATAAATTGAGACTACTATATGGAGATTCAAAGCATAATTATGATGTTAAAACTACAGTAGTGAGTTATGCTAAAATAAAATTAACGTTGTTTCTTTTTCTCCTCACTAGAATATGTGTTCCTCAGAAATAAGAGCAAGTCTAAAAAGATTAGGGCTACATGTGCTTCTTGGAAGAAATTACAGTTCCCTACCAGGTACAAATGTTAGATTCTTCTCATTTTACTTAAACTGCTTGCTTGCTTTCTCTCTTTTCTGTCTGTCTGTCTGTCTGTCTGTCTGTCTGTCTGTCTCTCTCTCTCTCTCTCTCTCTCTCTCTCTCTCTTTCTCTGTCTCTCATTTGCAGTCTTCTCCCTTATTAGGGGTCTCCAACCATTTTGAAAACAGTGGCTCCCTTTTACTTCTTGGCTCTTTCCTTGAGATTATTAGGAGTTGGAGTATTCTGATAGATGCTAGGAGGTAGTACCAGTAGACTTATGTTCCTCATCTGCTGTCCATCCTCATGAGCTGAGCAAAGGGAAGGGTCGGCTCAGAGGTTTAGCAGTGAGTCTACTTGTAGAATGCTCTTGCTGTAAAATGTTGATTTTCCTAGTTCATTTCTGGTTTTTATACAAAAGTATTTTCTGTTAATAGAGGTTTAACAGGATAATTTATTTTGAGGGTTCTTAAGAGTAGTTTGGTTTAATATTTATCTGGGATAGATTAGGTTAGGTAATATGGCTATTAAAAGCCTGAAGGCTGAGGAACTGGCTTCAGTTGCCCCTTGAACACAGATTTGAACTTCGATATAAGTTCAGCCATGTAAGAGTCCACTTATATGCAGAATTTTTTCACTAAATGGGTACTGCAGTACTACATGATCCACGGTTGGTTGAATCTGCCCATGCAGAACTGAGGATACAGAGGAACGATGTGTGCACAGGGCAGGCTGTGAAGTTATACTTGGATTTTTGACTGCACAGCGGTTGGCGCTTCTAACCTTCAGGTTGTTCAAAGGTCAATTGTACTGTAATTCTAAATGTGCTTCTTGTGTTTGAAGTAAGCAAGGATGTGGGAGACTTAGTGAAACTACAGTTGACCCTTGAACAATGAGGGGGTTACAGGTGCTGACCCCTCAAACAGTTGAAAATCACATATAACTGTAGTCAGCCCACCGCATCTGCAGTTCCATGTGCAGATTATACCAGCTGCAAATTGTGTACTGTAGCATGCATGTATTGAAAAAGATCCTTGGATAAGTGGGCCCACACACTTCAAACCTGTGTTGTTCAGGGGTCACCTGTAGCCGTTCTCATTACCATCTTTGTCATGTGAGAATAATGGAGTAAAAATACCAGTTGGCCGTGTGACTTGTTAAAGGCATGTGAATTTAATGTTCTGCATTATTGGTGTATATCTGGGTTTCTATATTTTGCCTATACAAACTTATTTATAGCAGTACAGATATCTTTCAGTCTTCAGACTGCCATCAGGTTTTCAAAATGTAATAGAAGTCATCATAATTTATTATAGAAATTTGGGAGAACTGGTTTAAATAGCAGGAAGGTATAAATTAAATTTATAAATGTAATTTCATTGTTTCTTTAGTATTAATAGAATGAATGGTAAGCATGGAGTAAGTCATTATGGACTTTTTTTTTTCCAGAAATACTGTTAGTTTTTACAAATTGGCCTTTTACAAGTATTAGATTATTATAGCTTCTATTCAGTGATACCTCCCAGGCTGTCTTTATAGGTATCATGTCCTTGGAATTGCTGAGGGAAGGTAGGTTTCAAGCGGTACAAAAACTCATTATCAGCTGATGTGAGTATCACTCTTTGCTCTTCAAGCCTTGACAATGTAGGTTTACGGGACTGTGCTTTTTTTTTTTTTTGGTTCAAGATCTACTAGTGTCTGAAGATTATTGTTATGAACATTAATTCTACTTTTGAAATTCTATTTATTATAGAATTCTATTATAGAATTGTAGCAGGTGGCAGAGATTGGGGTAAATCTATATTTTTCTAAGGATATAATCTAGAAATTGATGTTGAAAAACTTTATCTTGTTTTATTGTCATCCACAGGTTTTTTTAGAGATTGCAAGAAAATAAATTTTAGGTAAATGAGTGTTACATTTAGCTTGAATTTTACTTTAATTGGATTTACTTTAACAGTAATTTTACTATTTGCTTAAAATTCTTTTAATTTCTTTTATTTATAAATTAAAGGAGATTTTCTTTAAATTTAACAGTTCAATTTTAACACTCTTT